AGACACACACACACATACACCCTGGACTGTTCAACTCACGGGCCACACTGACCAGCATTCCCAGAACCCGGCCCCACCGAAACATTTTAATTGAACTTCAATTAAATAAAGGCTCCTAGACAAAGGCATCAAATCAATAGGCATTTGTTCTCACAGGCTGAAGTGAACTCTCTGATGGCTCTGGTACCTAGCCCAGGCTCGCCCTGAGACTTCCACAGCTCCATTATCCTTAGTGCAAAACTATGAAGCACTAGTTCACTTTAGGAAGCAAACTGGCAACTCAGCTGCCAACTATTATTTTGCAAAGCAGGACACAGTTAGCTGAAAATTATATTTTTCCAATTAGCACAGTGGGAAACACTGCTGAGGCATTCAGCCCAAGCCTGCAATTACAGAACATTTGCTTGCTTCTAGAAATAGAGTGAATGGGAAGTGCAGACCTGCTATCTAGGTTTTCAGCAGTAACACCCTGGGAGGGGAGACTGCCTCCATTTCAGTCGTTCCCAGAAAATAACCATCCTGCTCCTTTTAATAAGCAGTGTTCTACACTGCACTGCAACACGCTCGGAAGAGACTGCGAAACCCAGCACCTTCCCTGGAGATAACAAAAGGGGCTCACACCAAAGCCAATCATTAGACTGCCAAGTATATTGCCAACGAGCGGCAACAGGGTTCTATTTTAGCAGTCGCTTTGGAAATCCATGCATTAATAAAGCCTCACAAGTGTCCATCCGTCACAGACTAAGACGGTGTGGTCACCTCCACCACCTCCAGCGAGCTTGACCCTTCCCAGTCGTTCAAGTATTTCATTGTGTCTCAGGTTACACAATGGCTGCTTAAAGCATTTAGACCTTAGGCAGAGGGGAAGATAATGGCAGAGAACAGTGTTTTCAAAAAGAAACAACTTTCACTCCACACAGTGCCAGTCCAGTAACCTCTTCAAGAATTCTGGAGCACTGAACAAGGTTTTGGTGAAGAGCCAGGAGAAAACCATTAGCAACTAAGATATATGACCCCTCACAAATGCTCCAGGCAGCCCCACATCTGCTTTTTAAGGAGTGACACTGACACTCTTCACCCGCTTTGGTCTTTAGGGAGCTCTGTATTGCCTGAAGGTGAAAGGGTAAAGTATATGGGAGAACAAATCCTCCCAAGTCCCGCCAGCCCGGAAATGGACGGCTGAAACGCTAGCTTGGCCGCAGGTTTATCCCAACCTCCAGCACCCAAGGCAACTTGCAAGCGGGCACGTGCCTGAGTGTGCAACGTCCATCTAGTCTCAGCTACTGCAATGGCTTCACCAGGTGATTCAGCAGTGACATTTATTCCAGGAACGAAACCATAAAACTTCCAGACCCCACAGGGGCTTCATCAAGGAATAAACAGAAAGACTGCAAGTACGAGTGTGCACATACATATCCATATGCATAGGCAAAATCCCCCAAGGACAGGCAAACTACTGGGCAACAGTTCCCTCTGGGTAATGAGACTGGGAAAGGGAAAAAGCAAGAGAAGTTCTTTCAGGGTGTACTTTCTATGCCTAATTGTTCAAAGTGTGACAATGTAAACACTGCAATAAATTTTTCACTGTTTTAAAAAAAAGTATGTAGTGGATTAAGCCTCTTCTTGCAATGCTGGCTCGTATCAGAGCGCCCCAGCTGCTCCACTTCCAATCCAGTGCCCTGCTAGTGCACCTGGAAAAGCAGCAGAGGATGGCCCAAGAGTTTGGGCCACTGCACCCATGTGGGAGAACCAGATGGAGTTCCAGGCTTCTAGTTTTGGCATGGCCCAACTCTGGCCATTTCAGCCTGTAAACCAGTGGATGGAAGATCTATCTCTCCCTCTCCATGTCACTTGGCTTTTCAAATAAATCTTTAAAAATATGTATTACTAAAACATCAACTAGTCAAATTCTTAGAACAAAAAAATAAATTTTCATAGGTAAAGAAATCATTACCTTCACTTCCTTTGAAACATCACCAAAATGGTGTTAAGGGATTAGCAGCATAGCGAACAGGTGAGCAAACAAAACCACCAAACTGTGGGAGTAGACAGCACATGTTAACAGTGCTGGCAAGCCGGCGCCGTGGCTCAATAGGCTAATCCTCCACCTTGCGGCGCCGGCACACCGGGTTCTAGTCCCGGTTGGGGCGCCGGATTCTGTCCCGGTTGCCCCTCTTCCAGGCCAGCTCTCTGCTGTGGCCAGGGAGTGCAGTGGAGGATGGCCCAGGTGCTTGGGCCCTGCACCCCATGGGAGACCAGGAAAAGCACCTGGATCCTGGCTCCTGCCATCGGATCAGCGCGGTGCGCCGGCTGCAGCGGCGGCCATTGGAGGGTGATCCAACGGCAAAGGAAGACCTTTCTCTCTCTGTCTCTCTCTCTCACTGTCCACTCTGCCTGTCAAAAAATAAAAAAAATAAAAATTAAAAAAAAAAAAAAAAAAAACACAAAAAAAACAGTGCTGGCAGACCCAAGGAGCTGAAGCCCAGGGGCTAGCAGAAGACAGAAAACTGGAGACAGACGACCTTGGCAGACAATATTGGAGCTAAAACCATAAAGGCTGCAAGTCTAAGAAGCAGTTAGGGCTGAATGGGTATCAGGTGATATTAAACTACTATTAATTTTACCGAATGCAATACTATATTGAAGATCTTCTCTTAAATAGGTCCTATTTTATAAATGAGATGTCTGAGATTTGCTTTAAAATACTCTAGAGAAAGAAAGTGTGGGCAGATACTTGGCACAGCAGTTCAGACTTCCATCTACTGGTTCCCTTCCTAACTGGTCACAACAGCTGGGGCTGCACGAGGCCAAAGTCAGGAACCAGGAACTCCATCCAGGTCTCTCCTCCGTGGGTAGCAAGGGCTCAGGCACTTAGGCCATCCCCCGCTGCTTTCCCAGGTACAATAGCAGGGAGCTAGACGGAGTACAGCAGCCAGGATTCAAACTGGTGTTCATATGGGATGCCGCAGCAGCAGCAAAGTTCCTAGATCCTTCTCTCCAATGTTGCAGTCAGACATGTATCTTCCATATTGTCGCTCCCCCACTCGCGGAGGAACGACACCGGTCCTTCCCGGATTTGCTGCCGCTCCCCCGCCTCCGCGGAGAAGTGGCACCAACTAGCTCTCTCTCAGGGGGCCCCGCATGTTGTCTCTCTCCCCCTTTTATAGTCCTCTCCCACCAATCCGTGCTCTGCTGCCCACGTGTTGAGCACGCCACTCTCTTCCAATCAGAGGTTGAATCAGGAATCAGCTAATTGACGAAGCAGCTGTGTAAGATTTGTTTACTCCCTCTCAGCGCCATATGATGGGAGATCAGACGCATAGAGTTAGTTTCAGTCCAGTTTCAGTACTTATTTCTCTCCCCGGTGCCCCGCCGTATTGCTGGAGACGGACCCTGCTCCCCACACATATGGCATTCAGAAAAACTGGGAAACAGCAGTCAGGGATCACTTCCCCCACTGACCCCCCAGAACTTTGGGCACCTGGGCTTTTTTGCCCTTCTCAGCCTTCTGAGGGGTTCCCTATTGAAACAGCCCAACCAGGCCACTCTATATCAAGCTGGTCAGACAATTCTTTGTGAACTGCAGGATGTCTATGGACTATCTCTGCTCAGCTGTATCCCCCAAGGAGCCCAGTCTCCCAAATGCCAGCACACCCTGTCAGTACACAAGTGGGCCAAGTAGCACTGCAGATGTAATGTACAGATACACGTGGAACCCATGCGGGAGACCCAGATGGAGTTCCTGACTCCTGGCTCCATCTCTAGCTGTTGTGGACATCTGGGGAGTGTCACTCTGCTTTTCAAATAAAGCTCATGGAAAGCGAGCATTATAAAACATCACGTATGGATTTCGAAGTTTTTTGCACCAAAATAAACATCTTTGAATTACATTTTCCCACAAACTTTTCGAAGTTCCCTTGTAACAGCAGCAAATACAAGAGCTGGAAGGGGGTTGGTTCCCTTCCCCCCCCACCCAAGATTTATTTGAAAGGCATAGTGAGAGGGATCTTCCACCCACCGATTCACTCCCAAATGCCCACAATGGGCAGGGCTAGGTCTGGACCAAGGCGAAGCCAGAAGCCCAGAGCCTATCTGGGCCTCCAACATGGTGAAAGGGCCCAAGCACTTGGGCCATCATGTACTGCCATCCCAGGCACGTTAGCAGGGAGCTGGATTTCTAGAAACAGAGCGGCCAGGACTCAAACTGATATTCCAACAAGGGACATTGGCGTCACAAGCCGTGCTTAACCCACTGTGCCGCGTCAGCCCTGCAAGAGGTTTTATCAAGGAAAGGTGGCAGATCTGTTTACGTTAAAAGCCTGGTTAAACCATCTGCCTCTAATAAGCATACATACAACTTTGACTTTAAAAAATAAAACTTCTGGGACCGGAGTTGTGGAGTAGCAGGTAAAGCCACCACCTGTGGTGCTGGCAACCCATATGGGTGACGGTTCAAGACCTGGTGGCTCCACTTCTGATCCAGCTCTCTAACATGACTGGGAAAGCAGCAGAAGACGGCTAAACTGCTTGGGCCCCTGCACCCACATGGGAGATCTAGAAGCAGCTCCTGGCTTTAGATTGGCCCAGCTCCGGCCATTGCAGCCATTTAGGGGCTGAACCAATGATCTCTCTCTGCCTCTGACTCTATAACTCCCCCTTTCAAATAAAGAAATCTTAAACTTTTTTTTCAATGCTAGACAATCTAAATAATTGTAAAATAAAACAGCCCATTCCAATGGAAACCTTTGGCTGCTAGAAAGCAGAGATGTGCTAAGAGAAGAATGTCTTGCTGTGCTACTGAAATATGCCAAATCGCTCCACTGCTGCTAGGGAGTAAGGTCACACTCATTCTGGGATCACAAGACACAGGCAGGAGTGAGGAACTGGAAGCTGGGTCGTAGCTCTCACCTGCTGACACATTCACGTGCTCCATCTAATGGCATAAGCTAACTCAGCCAGAGCTCAGATGATTCAATATGAACAAAAACCATGAGAACAGATTTTCTAAAAATTGTAGGCTTTTTTTATTCAGTTAAGAGGTAGACAGATGAACATGGAAGGCTGTCCCATTTAACTTGCCCAAAGTTCATATTCCACTTCATTCATCCATCTCACACTGCCAGAAATCTTAAAGAAATAACCAAGATTGCCACAAGGCTTGTTCTTCCTACTTCTTAGCAATAATACTCAAGGAATTGCTTGCAAAGAAGTTACAACTAAAATTTTCATTGTGTCCCAAGAACCTTACCCCTCTAAGCAGTCCCCACATACGCCAACAGAACCTGCCGCTACGGACAGGAGGGCAGAGTGCCAAGGACTGGTTCTATAAGAGACTACAAGGGAAGCTTCAGTTACATTTTGTTGCTGTTAAATCCCTGTGCATGTTAGGGCAGAAGCTGGTGAATCCAACAAAGCAGAGTACTCTGTCAAATGGCTCTGCATGGTCGTTTAAAAAAATAATAATAATCACAAGTTATCTTCAGAGACAACATTAAAACATAATGGAATTGAAGCCTGATACAAAAAGTAGAGAAATATGTACAGGAATTCACAGCCCAGAAGGAAAAGGGACCTCAGTAGGAACCAGTGGAAACCTGGCTATTTTACATAGCTAATTTTGAGATAAATCATATTTAGCACAAAAGCAATTATAGCATAAGTAACACTTCCCTCCCACAGCTCCCCGACTTTAAAAAGACTCTTGTCAGTCTTGGGTGACACTGTAATCTTCCTTCAAGGGAGCAGGAATGTATACGGTGGTCCCAAACATCCACACAAATCAGAATCTCCAACAGCTTCACACTCTGAGGATGACATATTTGAAGATCGCCATGACTGCAGCACTGATAACACCAGAGATGGGGACTGTGACAAACCAGGCCATAAAAATGTTGCGAAACAGTCGCCAGTCAACAGCCTTCTTGGATCGAAGCCAGCCGACAGACACAACAGAGCCCACCTACAAGAGAAAGTGGCCAAGGGACTGGTTACTGGAGCGCCGACGGCATTCTGGCAGAAACACTTGCAGCTACTCTGGGGAGGAGCCCAATCCCGTGAAAGCTGAGATTACGCACGGAAGATGACAATATAAAAGCCCAATCATTAAATCTGTGCTAATGGTACTAAAACATGATATGAGAAGAACACTAATTTCCTTTTCTCCTGCTGGACTACTAGAACTTAGTGAACGCATACTGCTTTTAAGAATAAATTTTTTAAGTTCTTCAAAGCTCGTATTACACAGCAACTATATCAAACCTAGTAAGACAATTGCCTGGAGATTCTGGTAGAAAAGAAGATGACTCAGCAGGCTCCATGCTGGACCAGCATAAAAAGAGGCTAATTTCTTCCTTTTCCTAGAATTATTACATGGTTATCAAGCAACCTTAAGATCCAACAAGCTTCTCAGGACTTCAACCCTGAGAAGCCCTCAGCATGCGCCTCTGTAAATCAACTGCCCTTCTGACAGTCCAACAAGCCTCACAGCTTCAACTACCACAAATGGCAGCAAAACCCCACTAGGCCAGAGCTGAACAGCTGGCCTGTTTATTAGCACACGCCCAGACTGCTCTGAATGGCTTCCCCAAAGAGAAAGAACATAATGGTGCTAAGCAGAAATGACTGGAGAGAAAACAAAATTAGAAAGCAACTGCAACAAGGGAGGATTAAGTAACAAAGGAAGTGGTTAGTGGACAGAAATCATGGCTAGCTCTGCAGGTACAAACTTTTCCATCAGTGGGGAAAATGCTCTACTTAACTAAGACACAAATCATAGGACCCAAGCCCCTACTCTTGTAGATGCTTTGTCCTAAGCTCATGAATTCTTCCAGACTCCAAATCAAACTATCACAAAAGGAAAATTTCACAACTCTATGCATTCAGAGAAGCATTAGGAACACACACATGGACATCACACTTACTTTACAGTGTGTCGTACTGATAGGGAGGCCGATATTTGATGCAATCACCACAGTGAGGGCAGACGCCAGCTCAATACTAAAGCCACTAGAGACACAAAAAAGATTCTTGTCAAACACATCATTTGATTTTTTTTTTTTTTTGACAAACACAAGTTAGCCCAATCCCGCCCTGTTCTACTCAGTGAAAACTTCCACTAACATAATCGGGCTCTGGAACTCCCCTTTCCCTATTAAAGACTGAAGTCTTCAGTTCTTCTGAAAAGTCTGTTATTAAAGTTCACACTTTCACTTTCAAGAGTTTAATAAACATCAGTCTTAGAGGCAAACAACAGCCAAGCACTCAGTCTTGGCACACACATCTGAATGCATAAATGTTTGACCAAAGTGTTTAAAGGTTAGGCAATAAGTTAAATCCGGAAAGAGCACACCAACAATGAGGATCACCCAGGAACTCACACCAACTTGGTTACTTGTAACTAGACAGAGGTTTGCATTTTAGCACTATACAGCATGAGACCTACTTGACCTACTTACCTAGAAGGAGTGATTGGAGTCAGATCCTTCCCCATGGTCTGGATAACTCTCCTTCCCCAAACCCACAGACCAATACAGATACCAATACCACCATAGAGCAGAAGCCATATTGGTATAGCCATTTTGGAAGAAACATCTCCTGTGATGTAAACCAGATACAGAGCAACCAGAGGGCCAATGGCATTGCTGAAAGAAAGGGAGCAGAGACTTCTCAGGTGCATTTCAGTTTGGTGCATTCCAGTTCGCTCAAGTGATTTCCTAGGCTTCCCAAGCTCATTTAGCAACCAGCTTTCTTTCAAAGGAAATAAACTCCCAACATACACAAGAAGGTGGGAACTGCTCTGATGGAGGGAGTGCTGCGCAGCTGGCAGCTCTTCCCGTCCACAGACAGCCTGAAGCAACTCTTGGGGTCCCGTGAACCTTACAAACCACAAAATTAAGGCCAACAACCCACAAATCCATTCTACAGGGCGGTGGCTTTAGCTTACAATCTAAGAACCAGATCACTGATAAAAGCTTCCCTGTGAAAGACATCTGTGTTTATCATCTACAGACACGGCTCAGAACATTCTTTGTAAACTCTCTAAAGAAAAAAATGTACTCTTTTATTAAGCTGATGACTGCTGACATCCCCACCTAGATTATTCAGGGTCCCAAGGGTAGTATGAGTACCACTACCACAGCACAGGCTATAGAAGGGGTAAGACAGTTTAAAAACAGCCAGCCAGACTGATTCAGTCAACTGACCTGACGTCATTGCCACCGTGAGCAAAGGAGCCAAAGCAGGCAGTAAGGATCTGCAGGAACTGGAAGAGGAGAGAGATTTCCGGCTTATCCTGGTCACACCATTCTTCTAGAGAGCCACTACTTCCTTTTCTGTCCCCCAGACCCATCTCTGCCTTGATGCTCATGTCCATCTCAGACGCAGAGTGAAGTTCAGACACGGCGTTGCAGTAACTGGTGTAACTGTCCATCCGAATTCGCTTCTTGGTGTCTGTGTTGGGCCATGTCAGTTTCTCCATTTCTTCACCTTTCTGCTCACCTTCTTTGGCACGGAATGAATCCAAGGGCATGCCACAGATTGCCATGGTATAGGAAGTATAGCTATTATTGCGTCGCAAGGGCTTGTCACCAGAGTCTCCCATGCAGTCTCCCACCTTGGCCAGATGTAATTTGTGGAGCAGCTCTTTATACAAGCCAGAATCCTTGTGCACGGTGTGATACTGATAGTGGCCACTGGAATTGATCTGGTTGCTGACGGCTTGACTGAACTGAACAAGGTTCCCATTAGGCAACTGCACTGCACCTGGCCAAGACCAAAAAATAGCATTCAATAAAGCATCGAGTCCAAAGCAGGTGAGCCGCCTCCTCAAGAGAGGCGACAGTGCAATGAGGAACCTCCACCCACCATTCATGGCGCTGTCTATGCTGGTCTCCTCCTTCAGGTCCACGCTGGGCAGCCTTTCCCGCTCTGGAGCCTCCTCCAGGTCTCCGAGCTTGAACGAGACTGTTCTCTCCTCCACCACAGCCCGCAAGGGCACAACGGCAGACCCGACCTCAGAAGCAGGGCTCCTGTTCTCAGCATCACCAAGAGACAACTTTGTTTCTTCATGGTCTTCTTTCAAGCTACACTTTTTTTCCATTAAGGGACTTTCAGAAGGACTAGACTTAATGTCTCCTGGGGGAGGAAAAATGGACTTTTTTTTGGCTTGGTTTTATTACTCCCTTGTTCCACATTTCCCCTTTATCTGCCACCAAAAAAATCCACCTCAAAATCCTAGGCAAACATCAGGTAAAATGCAGAGTGACTTTCCTGCCTACCTAATTATTTGCCAGCAACACTGAACACCTGTATCAGGGGTGGCAAAGTTCCTCTTTAAAGAGCCAGACAGTAAATATTTGTGAGCTCCACAGCGTATCCTTGGCTTTTTCACAACCCTTAAAAATGTAAAGCCCTTCTTAGCTCCCTGCAGACATGCGGCTGGCAGATGCCTAAAAATCTGAGCCACACACATTCATATTCTTTTAAGAAAGGAATCTCCCAAATTCTAGTCCAAGACATCATAACGCAGGCAGTCAGAAATGGCAGCTTTAAATTCTACCTCTAATGAGGGAGGTGTTCCTCACAGCTCTAAGTCCCACAACCAGGCAGGGGCATGTTCAGCCTCTACTGTCCATGCTCAGTGCGCTCACTTACGCACCTGCCCAGGCACCTCTGTAAAACTACGCAACAGCATTAAAGCCAGACTTGTCTCATTTTCTCCCAGACTGAGGGCAAGAATCGGGTCAGGGAGTCCTGAAAGTCTCCATCCCCACGGCACAGGCGGCACAGCCAGAGCGGCAGAGCCTCCCGGGCGCCTGGGTGCGGCTGCAGTGACGCAGCACTCCTCCCAAAGCACTGCAGTCTCTGCACCCCCACTACTGGCCAGCAGTCTGCAGAGCACCGACCTGCAGCCTGCACGGCCGAGGGCAGAAAACAGTTCTCCAGCGCTCAGCCCCAGGGGCCAGGCTCCCAGCCTAAGACTGACACTACTATGATGTGTACTAAGGGTCCAAACCGTTCCTTCATCTGACTCTTGAACATGCTTACTGCTGGAATTTACACAATTCAGACACATGTATACAGGGACTCTTGAGTTTCCCACCATAAACAATATGTACATTCTCATATCCAAGGTCAGATACACATATCAGACTTAGCTTTGCTTGCCCAAATCTGAAATTATACTGAGAAGTACCTGGAATAATAAATGTTCCCTCTATGAAAATACTTTGTAGCTACCTTTATTTTTCATTTACACAGACATAAGCCTCTCAGTTAATGTAGCTACAGTTTTTCGTGGCACTGGCAACTGCCAAGGTACATTACAAAAATTTAACTCTCAACTTGTTTCTACAGCACAAGTTGAATACTCTTTACTCCAGGTTTCAAGTCATTTTAAGTCCATTTAAAAACAGTTTGAACAAACCCCTACCCCCAAATTTCCATATAAAATCACAGTCAATCTATCCACAGAGTGGATTCTTACAGGTGGCCGATAAACAAAGAATTTCAGCACAGCATTACCAGTCAACCCTTATTGCTACAAGTCATTACTTACGTTCAATTTTTCTCTTCATCCTGGGACATACAAAGAACCAGACGATAAGGGCACAGAAAACTGCGCATCCCACCGAGATGAGGATGGTACCCCACAGAGGAAGTTTGTCAAAGCCCAGCACTAGGAGATAAAATGGTGCATCTTGAAAACCCCAGGGCAACAGCCCCCTGCAATCACGTGTAAACCCTCTTCTCGGGTCTCTGAAGGGTTCCCCAACCCAGCCCGTGACCCATAACAGCTGCTGCAAGCTTTAGTATCACAGGGTTTTACTGTGCTAGTGGTTACATAGATTTAGGAGAAAAATCCAGTGATCAGCTTAAACCCACACCAGCCTGGCCCTCTTAAACACACATACTAGAGTGTCCTAAGCTTTATCACATACTAGCTTTCTTTGCTTTGCAAGATATAAGGATCACCATACTCTGAGGAGCTGAGACTAGCTACAAGATGAATAGGAGCATCCAACTCCCTTACTCCTCATGCTGCCATATATTAATTATGTTTGCACATTCAAATTGATTTTAACATTAAAAAAAACATGCCCTAAATCCTTTAACAAGGTTATCTCTTTGAAAGCATTTTCAAACCAAGATACAGAAAACAGGGATATTAGCTAACAAAAGATAATAGTTTAAAGAATATTTTAAATAGTTCTGTCTTCCATAAAAGGGAAAGTTAAGTAATTTTACTAACAAGCCACATCTCAGACATGCCTTTCACATGATTCAAAGATCAGTCATTAGTCATTATGTGCTCATTACCTACACCCACCAGGCACCAAACCACTAGTCTACTGCAGACAGAAGCAAGCACTACACAATCCTGTTGAAACCTGAAAGATGTTACAATGATCTGCATTTTATCCAAGAATCACTTAGTTCCTTGTGCTTGTTTCACTCCATTTTGCTTAGTGTTAAATTATGTGTAAAATGGAAATTCTATTGCCCCTCATTATTAACCTTTCAGATAAAAATTGAGCTTCTTTGAAAACTAAAGTTCTAAGGTGACTATAGATGCTTTCATTTTTAAAGTCTGCCTTCAGTTCTGATCATGTACTCACAAAGTAAAATATACATAAAATTTAATCAATCTTTACCACAATTTAAATTTATCTATCTCACAAGTCAAAAGGGGAAATGAGAGACTGGTTTTTCTTACATGATCCATAAAGGACAGAACAAAAATATCTAAGTTCCTGCTTTCAAAAATGAACATTTAGCTTCCAACTATGAGCCCTGCTGCTACCATATGAATCTTAAGTGCTTAGGGCCTCATGGGAGACTTTTTAATTTAACATGAAAAACTCAAATCTGTTGAATGGAAATTCAGCACACAAGCTGTGTTCACCTGTACTGTTTCGTAAGGAGCTTGGTATCCTTTAGGTAATATCAATATTCTCATAAAGTTGTCTCTTTCCTCATGATTCCAAGAATAAAGGCAAAGTTAAAAATATTTCACTAACTCCATAACTGACGTAAGGCTTCAAGTGAGATTTAAGAAGCAAAGTCACAACCCACTAGTCAGGAACGGAATCCATTTAATGAGCCACAAGCACTAATAAAACTAAAAACTGGGGCTGGTGTTACGGTGCAGCTGGCAGAACTGCTGCCTGTGGCACCAGCATCCCACGTGTGTGCAGGTTTGAATCCCAGCTGCTGCATTTCTGATCCAGCTCCCTGCCAAAGTACCTGGGAAAGGAGCAGAGGATGGCCCAAGTTCTTGAGCCCCTGCACCTGCATGGGAGACCGGAAGAAGCTCCTGGCTTGACATCAGCCCAGTTCTGGCTGTTGCGGCCATTTGAGGAGTGAACCAGCTGATGGAAAACCTCTCTGCCTCTGTAACTCTGCCCTTCAAATACATAAATATATCTAAAAACACTGAAACTTGTATTTAAAAATGAGGTCTAACAGTAAGGACAAGTGGCTACAGGACACTATTCCAGTTCTTTCTAAATGCAAGTGTGACCTGAGCAGCAACATACATTGTAATTCTTCTAGTGCGCCAATCAAAAAAATTACAAGCTACTAGCTGTGCAGTTACACATCATCAAGCAAAATGAACCTCGTTACCAAAACTCTACTGTCCTGCCTGAGGAATTACAAATTCTCCATTTTTTGTAGCAGTTAAATTAACATGTAGTGCATAATGTAATTCATGCTTTGCTTAGTTCCAATAGGAGAGTACTTAACATTTCAACCTTTTCATCTTAGCTGCAAGAATTCTTCTTCCAAGTGTACTTAGGATAGGTGTTAAACATCCCAACTCTTCTTATTCAAGCAGATTCAGGGAAGTAAATTTAGTACTTAAGAAACAAAAGTAGCTCCATTTGGGAGAGAAAAATGAGAATCTCCAGCAAACCAGTCCTAAATGACTGATTATTGAAGACCAGATATAACTAATGACTCTTGAGCAGTCGAGGTCAGTATCAATCCAGCATTTTTAGCACAGATAGGAGAAAGGGAGGGAGAAGATCATATTATCGGTGAATCCTGTGAAGACTAAAGAGGAAAGGTCTGTAGTGATTTAGAATCTGAGCAGGTCTTTTTGGTTGAAAAACTATCTAGGTTAACTCAGCATACACTAGCCTGCCGCCTTCTGAAATGGGCGCAGGCCAGCCACCTTCTAGGAGATTTCAGCCCTGTAAAGCAAAAAGGGGTAAATCGGGCATTTAATGCAAGTTTTATAAACAACTTCAAATTCACATTTAAATATTCTGATATGTACTTACATGGTGCTCCAGTGTACATGATGGAAAAGAGGTTTATTCCAATTGTACAGGCATAGAACACTGGCAAAGCTCGCAAACCATTAGGAATGGGATCTGCCTGCAAAACATCATCAAGATCAATTATCTTAAAAGCCATCAAAGTGACCATCTCCATGGCATCCCGCAGCAGGGCAGGTCTGGGAATTCTGGCGTCAATACCTGTCTGTCTGTCTGTGCTGTCCCCAGGCCAGCTAGGCTTTTCCTGTATTTGCTCTTGGAAATCTCCAGAGAAAGGCTGATTCCTCTGAGGATTAGGGGTTTGCGTTTTCTTCTTTTTATTAACAAAGTTACCTGCACCAGTGACTGGTAACATCTTGAGTAATCTGTTTCAATATCCATGTTCCAAGGAACCTATCATCTACATGCCTGGAGGATGGACTACACATCTGTAAAGGCTATCAACAAACAGACCGAAAGATGGACGAACACTGCTTGGGTGGCTTCACACCTCCAAACACTTACTGAAATTAAAACATGTAGAATATGCCTTCAACAACCATCTTATCTAACATCTGACAAATATGCTGTAACTTTTGTGTTATTAAAGTGTGAAGATTGGGGCCGGCGCTGTGGTACAGCAGGTTAACACCAAAGCCTGAAGCGCTGGCATCCCATATGGGCACCAGTTTGAGACCCGGCTGCTCTACTTCCAATCCAGCTCTCTGCTATGGTTCGGGTAAGCAGAAGATGGCCCGAGTCCTTGGGCCCCTGCACCGGCATGGGAGATGGGGAAGAAGCTCCTGGCTCCTGGCTTTGGATCAGCACAGCTCTGGTCATTGCGACCATCTGGGGAGCGAACATCGGATGGAAGACCTCTCTCTCTCTCTCTCTCTGCCTCTCCTTTCTGTGTGGCTTTCAAATAAATAATAAATCTTTAAAGTGTGAAGATAAAAACCAACATGTCCTAGGATTAACTGTGTGGCACACATTTCTCTGGGTACTGAGATATGAGATAGAGGGAATGAGATCAACTTCCTGTCCTCACAGAACTGACATCCACATTCCAATATGGAAGGATATCAAGTATCGACAAGGCTCTAAAGAAAAATAAAACTAAAGGGACAGTGGTAGGTGAAGCACATTGTAATTCACTGTTTAGCTTAACAGAGACATGCCAGTAACCCAACAAGCCATGCACATTAACTTGGGGAAGGAAACAAGAAGCCACCCAACTACTTGGGGGCTGATGGCTATATGGGGAATGATGGCTGCAGAGAGAGATACCATCAAGCTTCAGACATAACTTGAAAGGTTTAAGAACAGCTCAGCCAGCGTGAAGAGTTCTGCTTACAATGAGCATTATTAATTCTAAGGAAAATACCCAAGGGGCCAGGTTCTAGGTAGCAGGTAAAGCTACCACCTGTGACACTGGCATCCCACATGGGCACTGTTTCATGTCCCAGCTGCTCCATCCACTTCCAATCCAACTCCATGCTAATGGCCTGAGAAGGGCAGCAGAGGATGGTCCAAGTACTTGGGCCCCTGCCATTCCTGTGGGAGACCTGGATGAAATTCCTGGTTTTGGCCTGGCCCAACTGTGGCCATTGTGGCCATCTGGGGAGTGAACTAGCAGATAGAAGATCTCTCTAACTCTGATTTTCAAATAAATAATTTTAAAAAGTCAAACACTTAAAAAATGGGAGGACAGATCTGAATATACAGAAAAGCTAAAATGTAAAAATCTTTGCCTGAAGGTTTGAATGCTATCATGATCACAACTCCAGTGAAAACTCTTGTTGAGGGAAACAGAGAGGGAAAAGACCCAAGATTTTCTGATTACCTGACAGTAATCAGAAAGCCAGGGAGAGGGAGGGAGTAGTTAGGATTAAAGACACAGGACACAATCAATAGAGATGGGCCTTCATTGAAAACCACTCAGTTTTAGTTCTTATCTGCTGTTTAAAAGAATGCTAACAGACAGCCAAAACAAAAAGATGGTCCCACAGTGGTCACACCCTGAGGTCAGTCAACTAGGTTAGGAACCTAAACTATTGTTTTAAGGACTATCCACAGTTTTAAGAAAATCCTCCAAAAACCCTAAGATTCCTACTCTCAGATTAGAACTCACTAGGGCTCTACATTTCTGTGGGGACTTTGTTAATACCCATAAATCAAACTGTAATTAGTCAAAGTTAAGAAGCAGTCGTGTATTCATTCTTCTGTATAGCCCAACTAAATATTCCGAGGGAAACCAACAGCAGGCAAGCAGGTGGTGATGCAGCAGCAGGAAGTAACTGACACTGCTAATGGTTTACTATGAAATAGGGATTCAGGGTTTAAACACGGGTCAAGGACCCTGAGAGTCTAGGAGAGGGGAAAAACAAGACAGGTCTCCCCCCTCCCTCCCAGCCACAACCCAGTCACTCTCAGGGGGTGACGAGGGCTAAGGGCTTTGCGATCCTCCTAGCACACACTTAAAACTTTACCAGGAAATCACATAAATACCTCATTATCTAGTTACGTAGAGCAGGAAAGGAGGTCTTTAACCTCCCCCAACCTTCACCAGAACAGTTGGCTTTCCAGACTGTAGCAGAGTTTCTGTCTAAAGGAAGACATTCCTAACAAGTGGGAAAGGTTGACAGCCTTGTCTTCTTTGACTACAACTTCAGTACTCAGCAGGAAAACACTGCTCTTCCCCCTACTTCTGTTTAACACCACAGCCCTTTAACCAAAGTATCTCACTTCCATTTTTGTCTTTTCCTCACAAAGATTACTTACAAATATCACCAGAACAAATTCTCAGAAAATAGAGTATTATTAAAGACAACTTATTTAATAAAAAAAAGTCATTTTAAAGACAGAATTTCAAGGACTGGAATATATATTAATGGTAAATTACGCAAGACTTAGTAACCAGGACCCCAAAAGCTTAACAACCTAAGGATATTCCTTGAAATTTAAAACCCAATCATAATAAAAAAATATTCCCACTCATTACCTAAAACCTCTCCCTCATCTGTTGTTAAGACTGGCCCTGAAGACTCTGTGTGTGTGCATGCAGCATCCCCGAAGTGTTAAACACTCCCAACCATTGTTACATCCATCCCCACACCCATATAAAAATAATTTAATGAGTTTGACTATCTAACTTCAGCTCTCCCAACAGGGGAGCAATGAAAATCCCTGTGTGCCCTTGAGAGAAGCACATCCCCTGCACAGGAAGGCAGGCAGATTTATGGTGGTGAGACACACAAAACCTCTGCAGAACCCACAAAGTCCAGGTAAACCTGCATACAGTGGGAATCCTTAAAGTGGACCCTGTTAACTCCTCTGACTCCGGTACGCAATGGTCAGAGGGCTCTAATAAGAACACTGAAAATTTTGGTCTGTGACTACCAGCAAGTCTCAAATTTAAGGCTACTATTACCACACTACATCTGTGAGGAATGGGAAGCTAGGCACTACTCGAACCCGCCTGCAGAACAGAACAAGTACCAAGGTTAGAGTTGGTGCCTATCAGTGAATTATTTACTCGGCCACGTTCTATCATACACATTCATTCTCTCAACATGTTAAATGGCTGTATCTGTCAGACTCCTAACGTGCTTAGTGAAAGCACTTCACCAGGCATGGAATTTCTGTGGAGGTACCGATCCTTCCCCAGAGAGCTCAGAATTGGACCCAGGGAGGCTGAAGACATCCTCGTCGCTTGGGACTGAGTTACCCATCTCCCTTCACTCAGATTGCTATAGTTTAGGAACAGCTTGAAGAACTTACAATGGACTGTTAAGAGCCATTCACTTTAGAAAAAGGACAACTTTGTTTCCTGAGGAAAATGCATTTATTCTTACTGTAACTCACCTTATTGTTGACACTTACTTTGGAGCTAGCATCAGACTTCTTTTATTGGGCCCCTCAAAGGGGTTTTCAAATAGACAGGAAATTAAATGGCCGTCCTAATTTTTTTTTTCCAAAAAAAAGAAAGAAAAAAAAAAAACGAAAACCCTACCTTTACTGCTCCTCCTTTTCACCTATTCTAAGAAACTGGAGTCACTACAGGAGGTGGAGTCCTCATGTGGAGGCTTATAAACTGGTCATGATAATCAGCACTGTGAGACCCATTTAACCGGCAGCTTAGAAAAATCCACAGGGGACATTAAGACTTGTTGAACCCCAAGCTCACCATTCAAACTGACCTGAATATAATGTGGCTGCACAGAGCTAGACAAAGCCACCCTAAATAAATGTGTTTTTTTTACTCCTTCTCTCCTGCTTCTTGGCACACCTTAGTACTCGCTCAATTTTTCCTTCCCGAATGCCCTCCTGAATATTAAAAACAGAGAACTGCACAACATACAAGAGGTGTCAGAACAAAGAACTTATTTAACTTTCCAAGGCCACATACCTACACCCCACAGTTGTAGGCATGCCATTGGGTTTGCATATGACTAGGTGTGACCTAAGGAAGGCCAGGAGAGGGAAGAAAGGTTACCTTCCGCAGGATGAATGCACGAACAAGGAAGAATAAAATTCCAGACATAATACCAGAAAGCAGCGGAGAGATGAACCAAGACATCACTGGAATAGAACACAGGAAGAAAAACGTCAACTAAGGAAGGCACTGTAAATGTTCAAGTTCCACATTCAAGACTCAAGTCTGCCCCTCCACTGCACACCATGTACTCCCATACATAATGCTCTGGTAACTTAACAAGGAAAAAAATTGAAAAAGCCACCCAGAGTGAAACATACCAATTTTTATCAGTTCAGACCACTTGACACCGTCCTGCCCCCTTGCCACCAGGGAGAAACCAATGGTTGCACCGACAATACAATGGGTCCCGGATATGGGGAGCTTCAAAAACGAAGCCACTAGTTGCCACACAGCAGAACCTGTAACACAGTCAAGTTCGATTAAGGAAATGGCAAAATGCCAGAGGGCAAGCAGAGTGTTCTGAAGGAAGTAACCCGGAAGGTTCACCGCGAAAAGGAAACCAGGCAGGGTACAATGCGCTCACCCACCACGAAGAGACCCAGGCATAGAAAGAACTCACCAAACATAGCACTGACCGAGCCGGCCATCAGCTCCTGGGTCGAGTTCCGGTACATCTCCACATCGATCAAGCCCTTGCGGATGGTTTCGCTCACCTTGGCCCCCAGCAAGACTGAGCCCACGGTTTCGAAGATGCTAGCTAGGATGCAGGCTTGCTTGAGGGTGACCACACCGGAGCCCACCGCTGTACCGAACGAATTTGCTACATCATTGGCCCCCACAGAGAAGGCCAGGACGAACGCAATGATGAAGCCCAGGATGAGCATCCAGAGGTCGTCCACTAAGGGACTGGAAGCTGCAGTAGCGGCCAGGGTACTGGCGATCAGCGTGGCCATGGTAGATGCCATTCTCTTGTTGGAGTAGTGGTTTCTTAACTAACAAGAGAAATTACTGAGGGGCTTTCAAGGGGTGTAAACAGAATATGAGGTATCAAAAATGCTATAATAAATAATAATATATATATATCATACAAAATTAAATACTGTAAACTACGGCACAGAAACCGAGCCGGGGAGTTACTGCTATACGCTGCGTATGGGCGTCTGTTGTCTGGGGTTTCTTTGGCTCTGGAGGGCTAAAAGCACGGAGCAAAATTCCATGGCGGAGAAGAGAAAGGACGCAAGTTCATCCTGGGGGAGGGGAGGGGGAGAAAATAATAGCCGCGCGCGCCCCTGGGGAGGCAGCCCGGCCCCAGCTCTGCCCACGCGGCCGGGGACCCCCGCCGCGGCCTCCTCCCGCCGCCCCGGTCCTCCGCAGGACGGAGCCAGGCTGCGAGGCACGTGGCGCCGGGCCCCCCACCCGGTTCCCACCCGGCCCGCGCGCGCCCAAGACGACCCCAACCCCCGGATGCGCACGAACGCCCTCCGATAGAAAAAAATAATAGGCCCAGGACCGAACACGCCACCCATAGACCCTATAATAGGCCATCTAGCAAACGAGCGAGATGGCTGTTTTTATTCATCTGGGATGCAGACTAAATACTATCAATGCTTATCGCTGGCCACTGCAACGAATCATTTTCTTTGTGCTTTTACTTTCCAAATTTTTGCGAGCATAATTTTATGAAAAAAAGTTACAAAACTATCTATCATTTATTAAACAGCATAAAAATATATATCACAACTACATCTTTGACAATTAATTCCATTTATAGGGACCTATTTAGGACATAATCAAAGGTGCAACAAAAATAATATAAAAAGGTGTTTATCTTAATGTAATTTATATGATGCAAACACTGACAAAAGAGGAAGTTTTAAATGAATGTGAGCTGGGCAGGCGTTTGACACAGTAGTTAAGGGGCAGGGTGGGACACCCACAGCCCCTATCAGAGTGCCTGGGTTTTTTTCCTGGCTCACTCTCAATGCCAGCTTCCTACTAATGGGCACCTGGAAGGCAGCAGTGATTACTCAGATCATTGGGTCTCTTTTCACCAACATGGGAGACCACAACTGAGTTCAGAGCTCCTGGCTTTGGCCTGGCACAGGCCAGGATTGTTGCATGCATTGGGAAGTGAACTAGTAAATGGAAGATAGCTCTCTTGTCTCTCTGCATTTCAAATAAATAAAAATAAATAAAATCATAATTAAATAAAAGGGGGAAGCCAAATATGATGAAACTGTTCAATCCATGAAAAAAAATAAACATACAACCAAAAATAAAACTGCCTACTGGCATTAATATTCTCAATGCCAGGGGTATACTCAAAATTTAAGGGGTA